CCTTGCCACTTCCTATCTTTTATTGCTTTTATTATGTCAGTTCACTTTCGAACTTCTTTTGTGAGCTAGGTATTTGTCTCAGTCATAAGAATGATATAGGGACTTGTTGTCATACTTAGTATGTTTCCACATATGAGGAAGTTGTACTCTTATTTTGGTATCGTTTATGATGTTGAGACTCATATCTCACTTTCATGCTTTATTATCTTTCATTGTTCAACTTGGTTGTATGCTTATGTCAAGTGGCTTTTTTAGGTTTTCTCGGGATCCTCTTCGCCCTGTCATATCTAGGGGAAGTTTGGATTGTAACAGATTTGGATCAACTTGATAATTCCTTAACTTTCGAGGAGGACCTTGTGTCTATTATAGATAGGCTAGTTAGGAAGTTGAGGTCCAAGGAGATTCCCTTGCTAAAGGTTAAGTGCAGGCATCGTCCAGTCAAGAAGGCTACTTGAGAGGCACAACATGAATTGCGAACCAGACATCCTCACCTTTTCGATTCTTCAGGTTTCCTTTCATTAACTTTTAGGAACGAAAGTCTTTTTAGTAGTAGATGTTGTAATGGCCCTCCAGGGCCTTGGCTTGTCTCCATTCTCCAAGAGAAATCCACCCTCCTCCAAAAACTTGCTAGTAGCCATTTTCATAACATGAAAAACTACCATAACAAACCTTTTTTCCCAGACTTGCAGTATGAGGAAAATTTTGTTCAACTACTTGGTCAATATCTGCAGTTGTGGCAAACTACCTGTCTTATCACTTTTTTCTTTGAAAGGAGAAGCTTTGATCACTGTCCCTGCAATGGGAATGTAAACCTATCCTGGATTCAAAATCCCTGAATTTTCCAAAGAAAAATTCCCCAAACTTTCTGATACTTTTGAAGGAACAGGAAATATCATTGAAAAAATCAATGCACAACTTAACAACTTCAACATCTCCATAAAAGATGATAAAAGTTCTTATGTTTGAAGCTATGCAATAAACGTTAGTTTTCTTGTAAGTTATTTCTCTCTTAATTTCGCATTTCTTAAGATCCTAGTCAAAGGTTGGGTTCCCAAAAAAATTGCTAAGGTTCAAGAGAAGGCAAGACCTTCTTCCAAGAAATTGTCCAAAGCAGCTCTCAAGTTTGGGAACTCAACCTTTGACTTGAATTTGTTTGCACAAATGCTAAATGCGGTCTACATTATTCTTGGAGAAGTTCCAAGTGATAATATAGGATATTAGCGGCATTCACTAGCTTTGTGACCAGTCTTTCCACATGTCCAGCAGTAGTTTGCTCACAACTGCAGATATTGACCGAGTAGTTGAACAAAACAATTACTCCAACCAGATTCAGTAGAGATAATGGAAATATCTTTTCCAAAAGTATTTTGTCTTGTAGCTTCATATTGGATGCTATTAGAATAGTGAAATGCCACTATATGGAAAAATAATTTATACTCTCATTACGAGCTTTATGAGCAAGATGAGTTTTCATAAGACGATAATAAACTCGATAAATAATAGCTATTTCACAAGTGTTGATTTTACTGTTCAAGTTTTTGGTTTTGACATTGAGTGTCGGGGAATCCATGACATTAGGATCATTAATGTCAACAGAGAAGTTATCGTTGAGACTGACATCCTCACCAATCAAGTTCCTAAAAGAACTACTTTCCATGACCTTGAGTCTAACCAAGATTCTTCCCACGAAGACGATGATAATATTGGTATTGACCTCTCCAATATCAATAATGATCACCTAGCCGAACATTTAGTTACCAATACAGGTAATGACACTTCTACTTCTGCAGCATCAGGAGTAACGGTAATATCTTCAATTAAACCTCAGAGTCATCATATACCTATAAGAATAGTTGTTAGTAAATATTTCGTTATTAACAAGATTGCTTTGCTTGACAGTGGTGCAGATAGGAATTGCATTGTAAAAGGTATTGTTCCAACTAAGTATTTGCAACAAAGTACTTCAAAACTATACTCCGCTACAGGAGAACCTTTGAAAATAAATTACAAGCTTTCTAAAGCTCATATTAGCAATAATGGCATTTGTTTAACAAATAATTTTGTTAAAACTGAAGATATCAATGAAGATATTATTCTTGGAATACCTTTTATCACACAGATAAAACCTTATTTTATGAATCTAGATGGTATTACTACTACTATCCTTGGAAAAGATCTTCATTTTCCTTTTGTTTAAACCCTTTCACAAGATGAAAGTAATTTTGTAATAGAAAACACTATTTTTCGAATTAATAACCTTTCACAACATATCACCTTTTTAAACCTTTGGTTTCTTCGTCCATATTAAGAAGATTGATCTTTTTCTTGGCACCAGAGCGACATTCACTAGCTTTGTGACCAGTCTTTCCACATGTCCAACATACATCTAACTTGGTATCCCTAGATCTCTTGGACCTATGTTTCTTCTTCTTTGGTCTGGCAGGATCATCTCTTCTTTGAGATTTCTTCCTATGAGATTTTTCCTTTTTATCTTTCTTGATCTTATCAGGTGGAGTGATAAAACCAAAATCTCTACAGAAACTTCCAAGTTCCTTTCTAGAGGAAGATTGCTCTTTCTTGAGCTGATGTTTGAGTTTAATATCTGTACAAAACTCAAGGGCTACAACATTGACGGTGCTTACCAAATCACCATAAGTAAGATTGCCATAAGGGATATTACCATTATTGCGATCTTGGATTTTCATCCTTACTTTAACTGCAAAGAGAGGAGTTAGACCACTGATGAAACGTTCCTTCTAGCAATCCAAATTGCAATCTGGACGAATCATAACTTTACTAAGAAAGACATGTTTGTAATGGATAAAATTGTATAAGTTTGGACAACTTAGATTACTCAGAATTTGGAGACTCCTGTCTTGAAATAATTTTGGTTCTCCGATAAAATGTTTAGCTATATGGTAAAGGAGAGTAGCACAAGCATCTTCCCTTCCGTAGTTTCTATGTAATGTATTTGATGTGTAGAATGGGTGGCACACTTCATGAGGTAGTTGGGAGAGCTTTGGATGAGATTTTTCATTTAGGAGCTTTTATTTAGAAAGGGTTGACTTTGGTCAACATTCTTGATAAACAGGCTCTAACTAGCTTTTGATTAGCACCGTTAGCTCTTGAATGTTGAGTTTAAGTCTAATAGGACATTTGGTTTAGATCCCATAATGGTCAGGTTATGTTTGGATTCTTATTTGATTTGTTGTTTTTATGATATTCTTGACTTATGTTAGTATTTCACCGAGACGAAATTTGTTTGTCATTTTATTTATTCTATTGAATCCAAAATATTTTTTTTGGTTGGGTGGTAGATTTATTCAGTTTGCATTCATTGGACCCCGATAAAATCCCAAGGGTCCATTCGAAATTGGGAATATAAATTTCAAGTCTGTTGGTGCTTCAGTCACTGGTATAGTCACTCCTACGGAGACTGGCTCACACCACCGATGCCTCTTCTGTGGAGTGTGGGCATCACCAAGGAAGAAGGATAACTAGGCAAGGAGTCGCACCTGCAAGCCAACTTTTTGTTTGGCATTGTAGGATCCTTAGAATGCTCTTACGTAGTTTAAACTTAGATTTAGACATGTTGGTGGTTTTTATTGTGATTGTGTGGTTATATTGGTTTTTTCAAGCTTTTATGATGATTATTGTGATTGTAGGCCAGAGGCCATAGACTTAGATTGACTGGAGTTCCAAGTTAGTACGAATGCACTCTGAATGGATTGATTGTATTTGGCTTGCATTCATACACATGACATCTCCATTTTACATGGTTTGGGGTGGAAATGAGAAAAATCTAAATTTGAGATCATTAAATGGTACTCCCTCCGTCCCATTTTATGTGGCAACATTTGACCGGGCATGAAGTTTAAGAAATAAATGAAGACTTTGAAATGTTTACCAAATTGTCCTTTAAAAAGTAGACTCACTTTTTTCTCTCCTCATAAATGTATTGGAGTATTATTTTAAGATTAAGTGGGACCAACAAGGGTAACCGAGGAATTGTACCTTTAAATACTTACCATATAAGGAAATGTGAAATTTTTTTTGAAACTGACCAAAAAGGAAATGGTGCCAAATAAAATGGGACGGAGGGAATATTTGCGTTAGATTTTACTTGTTTTGGGATCTGAGAGAGCGTGTTATTGATTTACTCAAGGAGTTTGGGATTTTCAAATAAATTAAATCAATTTTTGGGATTTTCATTTCAAAGAGACGTTTACTTTAAACTTATTGGCTTTACTACTAAGACATTTTCAAGGAAAAACAACATTTTCTTTTGAGATTTTGAATTTAAAGGTGATTTGATTTAAACATACAGATTTCTATGGTTTGTTGAGAGAAGCACTATTGTTATGGATTGTGTCTGTCATAAACATTTTCCTACGAGATAAGTTACTAGCCAAATAAAAAATAAATTCATTTTAACTATAAAAAAATACAACTATGGTAAAAAAAAAAAAAAAAAAAATCACCGCAAACATTCTAGCAGGTTCCTTTTTTTTTTTTGGTAATATCTAACAGGTTCCTTAAGAGCAGCAGTAGGTTCCATTTTAGTTGAAGTGATGTGGGAAAATGTACGAGGTGGAGTGGGGCCATTTAATTAACTTTTTTTTAAAAATCAAAGTTGAGCTGAGAACTTGACACCTACTTAAAAACCGTGTCTTAGAACAGGAAAACATCACCTAACAAAGAACCTCATCCATTTATCCTCTTCCTTAGCTAATAATATTTAAATTTCTCCCCAGATATTGTTAAGAAACCGACAGTTGAAAACATTATTAATTAATCAATATATAACAAACGTGCTGAGTCTCATATAGTTGCTGCTAACCCGTAACGCATTACTCTTAGATATTAAAACTCAACACTCTTGTCCCACACAAATCCTCTGAAAGAACATGGAAGTTCCCTTTAATAAGTACTCTTAACTATATATATACTTAACTTGATCACACTTTTGCTTGATTAATAGAATGGAAGATGGCAAGAGAATGGGTGGTATAACATCAGAATATAGAGGTGTTAGAAAAAGGAAATGGGGTAAATGGGTGTCCGAAATCCGTGAGCCAGGAAAGAAAACGAGGATATGGCTAGGGAGTTTTGAGACAGCGGAGATGGCGGCGGCTGCATATGATTCAGCTGCATTTCACCTCAGGGGACATGCAGCTAAGTTAAATTTCCCAGAGTTGATTGAACATTTCCCTAAACCAGCAAGTTCTTCCCCTGAAGATATACGTTTGGCTGCACAACAGGTTGCAATTACAGTTCAAAACACAAATTTCATGGCTTCTACTAGTCATGGCCATGAAGCACCAGTTACAGTAGGACTATCTCCAACACAAATTCAAGCTATTAATGACTTTCCTATGGATTCACCAAATATGTGGACTACTCATGAAGACATAAACTTTACTTATGAAATGAGTGATTACCAAGAAATGGATGATTGTCTTTGGGATTACTCATCAACTAACTCATTTTAGAGGCCTAATTTTAAAGGTTCACTATTTTATTTTACAAACATATATTTAATTAGAGTGTGTCATGTTTGTACTAATTAACTTCCATATATGGTGTGCCATTATATTATTTAAGGTTGTTCAGGAGCATCAAAATGAGTTGGTTTTTTGACATCTCGTTTTGTGTGTTGCTCTTATAATATTGTATTGTAATGTAATGTAATGCGTGAAAAAAACTTATTCAAATGTGCTCTACTGCATAATCGAATATAATACTCCCTTTTAATTTGTTTGTTAGTCCTTTCAAAGGAATGTTTCTTTACTTCTTTTTCTTTTGTCTAATTTTCAAATTTAATTTTTCATATTTAATACTATTAAGTTTTAAAAACATTTTGATATATTTGATGTATTTTTAATTTAAATAAAACATATAAACTAAAACGGAGAAATTATTATAATTGGATATTCCTGCTGATGTACATTTCTTGTTTGATCATCTTATTTTATTGATTTTATTCAGTATCGATTGCGCGGGACCATTGTATTTTATTACTAAAATAATTTTCTGACTAGAAAAAAAAAATTCAACCTTCTATATTTTATTAGAATAGTCACAAGTATCTAACAACCCTGTGAAGAAGGATATTCTTTTTTTTTTTTTAATCAAATAAATTCGAGATCCGATGGTCTTATGTATAAACTCAAAACGGATCCAGAATATGTACACAACCCAGTCTACTACAAAGCCATAAAAACATAAAGATGAAAGACTTTCTTCTCTGCCGATGCGCAAGTCCGGTTACAGGGTTGAAGAGGAACTTCAAGTAAGGATCTAAGCTAATGGCCTTAAATCTTTATGTTTTCAGATTTAGTGGAAGATGAAGATAATAACCGTATCCATTAGTGTATATTAGGGGTGTAAAGTGGACGAATTGAGCTGAAATTGGCTAAGTTAGAAGGACTAGAAATCAGTTTGAGTTATCACTTATCACCCACCCAAATTTACTTGGAAACTTACATAAATATACAATATTAAAAAATATTTACCATTTATATCCATGACTTTTTTTTCCCACTTGATCACTTTTAATACATTTATACTACAGTTTTAATACATATTACAAAGAACAATTTATTATTCATTTATAATAAAAAATTTATTGATAGATAATACATTTATCAAATATTTTAATACACTTATAATACAATGTGTCAATTTCTTACTATACAAACATAATATATTTTAAAAAACAATTATAACACATATGTATTGCATACATTATTCACATTTAGTATATATTGCAAATTTAACATAGTATTACTATGTATTGATATAAATGATAGTAAGAAATAATAAGTATCGCTAAAATCAATAATTATTTATTAAAAGGTACTCATCCAAATAATTTTTCCTTATCTACTTTTGGATCAAATAGGCTAAAAAATTTGGTTATTACCCGCATAATTTTACCCGTTTAATCTAAAAAAATTAAATGCTATTTAACTTTTGTAATGACAATTTGTATTCCAAGTCTAGAAAATAAAAAAAATAAAAATTATTGATTTTGAAATTAAAAGTAATCAAATTTTATACCATCAAATAAACATTTTCTCCCTTCGTTTAAAAAAGAAAGATCTAAAATCTAATTTTGGTCTGCTTAAAAAATAATGACTCTTTTTCTTTTTTTTGCAACACTTTAATTTCTATTTTTCACGTAGCATGTTTAGTGCCACAAAATTAAAATGTTGTTTTGGTATATTTGACATAAATTTAATTTAGGATCACAAGGCCTTGATATCATGGTTGAGTAACCCATATACCCAATTGATTGCTTCCGGCCGATAATCGACAAACCTGCCCAGGATAGTGATAAACTTTGATTCCATGTCGATCTTCATAAGGTTGGCATAAAACTCCCGAACCCATTTCTCATTTTCCTTGCACGGTTCAGCTGCAAAGCATATCAAACCGAATACCATCAACCTTTGGTGGAAAGTTGGAAGTGTTTCCTAAACTTTATCAAGAGATATACCTCTCTCCGAAAGTAGGTTCTTCTTCATCAAATCAGCATAATAAATTTCTTGTTTCCGAAGAGAGACAAATCGATATTGGTCATAGTCGACCACCACTTCCTCCTCAAAACCAATTTCGTGTGCCATTCTTGACTTGTGAGAATATGTAAATCACAATAGCATATGAGTGTGTGAATTATATGTTAAACAATGCTATTTAATAATTAGAAGTCAAAGAAAATGGTTGGAACTCAAATTAGAACAAAACAAGCATTCTGAAAAATTCACACTAGTAGGAAACTACCCTAGATACCGCAAAAGTGATGCTAACCAAACATCGTTGAAGTGGCCAAAAGGCCGCTTAAGCGAAAGTCGCAAAACCAAAGTACTTCGCATAAGCGAACATCCCTTAAGCAATAGCATGTTCGCAAAAGTGAATTGTCACCTCCTTCAACTTGAACAACCAACTTTGATTTCGACATTTAGCATGAGATTTAGACTGCCATCAGTGTAAAATTAACAACAAGCAACCAATAAATTCAATCATTTCGGCACAAAAAGTTTGGGAATCATTTTAGAGCTCATTTGGGCATTTTATTAACCAAATGGTACCTAAACTAATTTCAAAAATTAATTAATGAAATGGGTAATCAAGACTTTCCCAAATACTTCTAATAAGCCCCGACACATGCACCTAAACATTTAGATAAAGAATTTAGCCAACACCATCACAATTTTATCCCTCAAGATAGAAAAGTTACTACCCACAAACAACCCAAAACTTTCAACAAAGAAATCAAAAAATAACAATAATTATTACAACTTTAAGAGAGTAAAAGTGAGAAAAACATATCGAATTATGTTTGCACAATAACGACCAAAAGGTTGGAATTGTTTTGGAACAAGTGGAAAGGCAGAACAAGAAGTTAGACCTTTTATTTTGTTAGTTTTGTCTGTTTGACTCCCTTAAACTCCCTTTTGAAATGCCTTACCTTCTCTTATGTGACATTTTGTTGCTTTTGCGACTGTTGTTGAAAGTTAGGGGTTCCTTTAAGCGATGACCATTTTTGTGAGCGGAGCTGCTTTTGCGGACTTCACTTAAGCGAACTCTTGTTCACTTTTGCAGCTCTTGAGGCCATTTTTCCAAAGCTACTCACTATCCTATTGTGCGAGCTTGGGGCTCTATTGGGCGATTCTCCAGGCTCAGTGGGTGATCTTGGGCACCCAAAATGCCTCCCAAGTCATTTTCTAATAGGGTTTTAGCCTCAAACTTCATTTCCTTCAAGATTCATGCCTCTAAATCTATTCGAATTGACTCCATATGTCAAAAATCATGAGGATTAGTCAAAAACAAGAATTTAAACCTAATCTAGAAATTAAAAACTCAAAATTAAACTAAGTTAGATACAAATGGGGTGCCTCCCATCAAGCACACAATTTAACGGTGCGGGGTGACTCCAGGTACATCACCCTTTGTGTTTCCACTATGAGGCAATGAACCTTTTCCCCAAATTGAGATCAATTTTACTTCAAAGAGCTTGGGGAGTGCAAGAGAGCATCAAGCGCTTCACCCAATCTCTCCACTTTGAAGAGTTGAATATTTTACCCAATTCCAGTCATATTTTCATTTTGGATCATTGGCAAGAGTGAAAGAATCACTAGGCCACGTGAGCATTGAACTTCATAATTTTTGGCCTTCAAGTCAGTGACACTCTCATCTTCACATGAACTAAAGTTACCAAATATGATCTTCTTTGCTTTTTTTTGCAAATCTAGTATTATGCTACTTATTTCAGATTCTTTCATTTTATTGCTTTATGTTGGTTACACAAGCTCAAGATATCTTCTATATCCACCTTCCCCTCTTCGCTTGGCTCGGTTTCAAACTTTTCAACTTTGAACATGAATTGGCTTGTCTCATCACACCAAGCAAGGTGCAAGTCATGAGACTCTTCTTCGCTCTTTTCGTCCATTGGATAATAAGGATTTTCCACCCTCATGGTTTATCTCATCCTAGCCCAAAGACTATTAAGCCTAATACCAAAGTAGAACAGGTCACAACACCGAGCTAGTGACACTTCTTTGAGACTGCTCAATACATCGAAGGATTGGCTTAGGACTTTCTTGTCCCTAATAAGCTTGGCATACACGACCCTTATTGACATAGACCGGTAGAGGGAAACTCATTAGATGCAACGATTGCAAGAAGCTATAGAAACAAAACAAAATAAAATAAATACAACTATTCTTAATCTAGATAGAAAGAGCTAAATAGAAATTTTAAATCAATTCAATCCGCCTAATTGTTCTTTAGCTCAAATCACCCTCCAAAAAACTAGTTAAAACTGTGAGCGGTCGTCGTTAATAAAAATACCAAACAAAGAGTCGGGGTTAAATCCCACAAGGAACATTATAACGACAATTAAAAAGATAAAGACTAACTACATACTAGTATGAACATAGACATACAAGATACAAAAATATGAAATAGAAGGCAATTTTCTAATATAAATACGAACTGGGGCCAAGATGATATCAAACAAGAAATGTATGGGATTTGGGAAAACTCCAGGTTCAATCAACACTCAACGGTCCATTGCAATTCAATCCACAATCAATCAACTACTAATGGGTAGGCTAGGTCATCATCAATTATACTTATTATCTTTCGATCTCAAAGCATTTTATACAAAATAACCCACTAACTTAACTTAGACTTCTCTTAGAAGGAAGTCTTGCACCAAACAATAAAACCCTGAACTTTTCTCTTTCAATATCAAATTTAATTCAAATTCACAAATGTGATTATCAATATAATTCTACACACAAATTAATCTCTTTCAAGCATGGAGCGGAGATCGAAAGCTAGGATTGAGCGTGCACTTCCACCCCATAAATTCAAACATGAAAGCAATTAATCAAACACCCAAGTAGCTTTGTCTATTTCTAGCACAAAAGCCCCAATTTTATATAAGTAATCACACCCACATTTATAGAAATTAAAAACAAAT